CCAAGAGACTCATGTAATGGTACAAGATCCCAATGATGAATGTAACTGTATTGTATACCTAAAATGTACCAATAAAGTTAATGGGGGAAAAAAAAGTAGCATCAACACATACAGAGTGGCCAGAATACACATAGCCAGCTCCTCAATGAGACCGCATTGCTATCTGAATGATGGGCCTGCCTCCTCTATGATAGTCTATTTCTATTTATTTTTTGTGTTGTATTAGGAATTGAACCCAGGGCCTTCACACTGAGCTACATCCCAAGCCCTTTTATAAACTTCAAAAATTTTTTGAGATTGGCTTTTGCTAAGTATCTAAGTTGCCCAGGCTGGGCTGGAACTTGGGATCCTCCTGCCTGAGCCTCCCAGAGGGCTTGGATTACAGATGTGCACCATCACACCCAACTGACAGTCTCTTTAATTTCACGACTTCTGCCACTTGCATGATCTGCTGAAAAGAGCAGACAGCACAGCAAGAGTTAAATGCTAGGCCAGTGATAGTGAACCTTTTAGAACTTTCAATGATACAAACTGCCTGCTGTAGCACACATGCCATAGGTTCGCCACCACTGGGCTATGCCACAGACTCAGAGTCCCTGGATTCATCTGATGGTTGAGGGAGAAACATCCTTTTGGGTATCCAATGGCTCCCAGGCAGGGCTGCACCTACTTGCTCTGGATTGAAGAGATTATGCTTTTGTTGCTGCTGATTAGTTCTTCTTGATTGGTGACTTGTTCTAGAAGTTTCCTTTTTTCTAGGAGTAGGATATCATTCTGGGCCAAGATCTGGTCCTGGAATGCCTTCTCCTAGAGATTATCATGGCAAAGAAAAGAATTAGAAATAGAAGAGTTTCAGCCTGTTTCAAACTAACAACAAAGCGTTCTTATTTACTTTCTCTTTCCTGTTCTCTAATCTGTCTCCAGATGTTTGCTGACATTGTTATTCATTCCTAACTAGGTATTCCTGAATGCAATTTGGTTCTTTATGTAATATATTTTGTTTGGATATTTAATCATTCTTTTGCATAAACATTTAAAAATATCTGAATATTCAATTTCCAATAAGATCCCAGTAACAAATCACCAACAAATACAACTAAATTCTTAAAAAGCTTATATTGAGGGCTGGGGATTTAGCTCAGTGGTTTCACTGCCTGCTGTGCAAGCGCAAGGACCCGAGTTCGATCTCCGGTACCAAAAAAAAAAAAAAAAGAGAGAAAATTTCCCCATGTAATACATTTCCATCTGTTTCATAGCCATATTCTTTGTAGGGCAGAGGGTGGGAGGTAAGATTTAGCCCCCTTGCCAGGCAGGCAGTGTCAGGAGCCCAGCTGGCTTGGGAAGCCAAGCCTGTGAACCAAGTGCGGAGACTTCTGCAGTGACAGTGCTGAAGTGGCTTCTAGCTCAATACTGTGCTTCATTTTCTACCAGTGATTTTTCCCCCAAAGCAATAAGGAGTGAAGTTTCAGCTAAGGTGATAAAGAAGTACATTTTGTGAAAAAATGCTAACATTCCTATACTCTTTCATCCATAGATATTGATAAATATCACTCTTGGTGAGAGTTTCGAGCCCCAACGTACACAACTGCTGATTTTACTTTGGCAATGACCTGTAGATGGTAGTAAGCACCTTCCTCCCTCCCCATCCATTTCTGTTTCCACCCCCTGCCAGCAGTGGGAGTGAACAGGGTGTGCATGGGGGAAATTACAACAATTTTGGCAGATGGGTGAATAACAGCATTAAGAGGGGCTTTTCTTTTTTCCTTTCCTTCCTTTATTTCTTTCTTAGTACTGGGCCTTCCACATGTCTGGCAAATGATTTTCCACTGTTATATTCCCAACCCTTTTTAAAAAATTTTAAGACAGGATCTTGGTAAGTTGCTCAGACTAAACTCAAACTTGCAATCTTCTTGCTTCAGCCTCCTGAGTAGCAGAGGTTACAGATATGTGCCACCATACCAGGCAAAAGGAGTAATTTTATATTTCTTTTAAATAAACTATTAATGTAGGTCATTCAGAAAACACTGTCCATTTACTATTAAAGATATACAAGGAAGGAGGTGAGGTTATGTTCTGAAGCAAAGCATCCTACATTTTAAAGCTCTCTCCAGGACCCTTCAGTGTCTAGTGATAATCTCACCTGCTACTAAAGATATTTAATTACTAATGTACTGGTAAGGGTTGAGAATAGAATATCCTATACTCATATAACTCAATTAGAAAGGGAGACCCTGACCTTTGGAAACACCATATTTTTAACACACCTCTAAATCAAGACACCTATCGTGGAAATAGGATAAAATATTGGGAAAATCTGGTTTGAATGGTCACAACGATTAAAGGACTCAATTGGCTTGCTGTATGAAGAGGAGATTGATGGAATGAAGCCAAAAGAAGAAATACTAGCTTTTGGAGAATCAGAAGGTAAGTGTAGCTTGTCTGTGCACAGGGCTCTGGTCTGCGGGTCCTAAAATAAGTACTCTCAGAGCACTCAGGTTTGTAGAACCGTGGCATTAAAAGCTGTCATATCTGTCTTCTCCAGGCTAAGTATTTCTGTTTCTGTTCACACTTTGTCTTATGAACTATGGATCCATCAGTCAACATGCTTCTAAAAGATTATACACAAAGGTGGAAAGTGATACCTATGAAAAATATACATGTGCCACCTTAAGAATTTTATTTATTTATTTATTTGGTACCAGGGATCGAACTCAGGTCCTTGCACTTCTGAGGCAGACAGCAGAACCACTGAGCTAAATCCCCGGCCTAAGAATTTTATATTTTAATTCTCACAAAAGCCATGTGTGTGTGTGTGTGTGTGTGTGTGTGTGTGTGTGTGTGTAAGGAAGCCAGGCACAGTGGCACACACTTGTAATCCCAGCACTCAGAGGGCTGTGGGAGGAGAGCTGTGACTTCGATGTCAGCCTGGGCTGCATAGCAAGTACAAGGCCAGTCTAGACTACTTTGCAGGACTCTGTCTCAAGAAAACCAAAACCCAAACCGAAAAACCCAACCCAACCCAAATGCAAAAGCTCCCAAAGCCTTATGTGTGAGGTGGAGATATTTTTCTCCATTTTACAGATGAAGAAAACAATATACAGAGACTTGTTCAAAGTCATGAAACTAAATATCAGGGCTAGAATTTGAATCCGAGTCCAAGGCCAAAGCCCTCAGAACCCTTCAGTGGTAGTGAGTGAAAGATCCATTTCCTTTCTTAGCTCTTGCATATTGGTGATACCCAAGACATTTCCTGGAGACCTGTGATTCTGTTAGTACACTGGCTTCTTGTGCTGCCTAAGTAAATTACCACAACTTGAGTGGCCTAATATGACAGCAATTAATGTTCTCAGAGTCCTAGAAGTTTTATAGACACCAGTCATATTGAATTTGGAATTTACCCTAATCCAAGATGACCTCATTTTAATTAATTCTATCTGCAAAAGAACCAATTTTCAAGTGTGGTCACACTCTGAGGTTCTGAGTAGACATGGTTTGGGGGAACACTATTTACCCTGCACAATCAGGAGGAGAGGAAGCACACCTGCTGACACGGGGCCTGTCTTCACACAGAAGCCTACATATGGAAGGTGGGCAGCACAGGGAAGTTACCAGTACAGATGGGGACTGTTGAGTTTTCTGGTTGACCCATGAACCAAGATTGCTATTTCTTCTGCAATAGACTGGAGATTCTGAGAAGGGAAAATATGATTGGCCTAGTCCATTGCTCTCCATTTTCAATTTATACAGTTTAATGATCTGAAAACCATCTGTATTTGATCCTATTCATCTGACCCATTTTCTTCTTACCCATATACTAATAAGTCACAAGCCAATTAGAGAAGCATAAAGAAATCAGGAATATTTAGAAAAAAAAGTTTAAAGGCACTATAAGAATTTATATGGAAAAATAATTTTTAAAGAAGACAAAAAGAATTAATAAAGAAAACGATTTCCTCTTTCTACTGCCACTTTAAACTGACACTAAAGTTTCAGACAAAATGAAGGCCACATAAAGCAGGAACGAGTTACTAAGGATGGTTTGAAAGATTCTGCTGAGCAATATTCAATAAAAGATATCTATCTGAGTGTCGTGGTGCACATCTGTAAACTCAGCACTGGGAGGCTGAAGCAAGAGGACTGCAAATTCCAACTCATCTTAGACAACTTAATGACTTAGGGAGACACTGTCTCAAAAAAAAAAAAAAAAACTGTGTTGGAAATGTAACCCAGTGCTAAGTCCCTGGGTTCAATCTCTAGTACTGGGAAAAAAAAATTCACTTGAAGGCAAGACAGAAACTAGCAGTGCTGAATATTTTTAGTGTCCAATTTGATTTAGCAATATTTGAGTCTTTTTTACTGTTTGGCAGAGCTTAAAGAATTAGTCACTTTGAAAGATGGTACCCTTCCCCCCAAAGATATGTAAACAAGGACTGTGAAGAGACCACAAATAATTAAAAACTGACTGGGCTTTCTCTAAATGGCTGATAAGCAGCATCATTAGTACTCTTTTTTTATTTCTCACCAGTTTAATTCTTTCTTGCAGTATTCTGGTTTCATCTTCAAGTTGTTTAATTCTCTTATTTCGTATTTGTACTTCATGAACTAAACGATCCTTGGCCTTTTGAAACTTGGCTTTGCGGTGGTGATGTTTTTCATTGAATTTTCTATAAAAGTAAATTTGAGTATAGGCATATCTGAACATAATTAAAATTTATTTTGCTTCCTCAATATACACCTTCTTGGGTTTTCTCTTCTTGCTTATGACACAGCCCTGGCAGCAGATGTGGATACTTATCTTGGCTCACATCTCCTTGCTCCTATCTGGGGGAATAACACTATATAACAAGTACAGTCACCCCCATGGCCTCCAGTCTCTGGCTTGCTTTGATTAGAGCTGATAGTAATGGTATTACAGTCATAGCATCTGAATTAATTTAGGAAACTCTTTGACTTCTGATCTCTAACATCTAAATTCTGAATCCTGCTTCATTGACTAGGTCATTAATTTAAAATTTCCCAGTTCTCGGCAATGCTCTTGAACAGTGACACAACTGGTTCTATCTTGCCTAATTTTCCAGATAACTGGGTCTGTTCTTGGTTTGGATTATTTATTATTTTTTAATCTTTTAAAAATTAGTACGTTTGTCATACATATTGATCACATTAATCATAGGGAATTTGTACCTGTATATAATATATCTCAATTCTTCTTTTTCTCCCTTCCCTTTTTTTCCCATTCCCCTCCCCTTCCTTCAAGCCTCCCACCACCATTGGTTTGATTTTTTTTTTTTTTTTTAGTACTGGGGATTGAACTCAGGATCTTGCACTTGCAAGGCAGGCAACGGAACCACTGAGCTAAATCCCCAGCCCCTGGTTTGGATTTTTTAAAATGCCAATTCTATATAGGTCTCTGCTTCTCATTCTTAATTTGATTCTGACATAAATCTAAGTGACTGTCTATAAGCACATGGAAAGATGCTCAGCATCGTTAGCCATTAAGGAAATGCAAATCCAAATCACAATGAAATAGTACTATACATTCACTATGTTGGCTCAGAATAAAAAAGATGATAATAACAAGTGCAGACAAGGACATGGACAATTTGGAACACTCATCCACTGCAGCCAGGAATGTCAAATGGGGCAACCACTTTGAAAAACAGCCTGAAACTTCCCTAAATGGTTACTCACAGAGTTGCAGGATGACCCAGTAATTCCACTCCTAGGCATAAACTTGAGAAATGAATATTTGTTAATATGAAAACTTATACACAAATGTTCAGAGCAGCATTATTCATAATAGCCAAAAGGTTGAAGCAACACAAATTTCCATCAGCTGATGAATGAATAACCACACAATGGGCTATCATTCAGTCATAAAAAAGGAATGAAGTACAGTGGACTCTTCAGTCACGACCAACCTTTTTTTGTTTTTAACTTACAAAGTCTTGAGTTATGACCTGAAAGCTGGCCTCTTGTGTTTCCACATGGTTACAGATACAGATTTAACCCTTAAAGAGTTCTGGAAGGAACATGACAAAATCCTTCCTTGTGTGGGGTTGAGAAATCCTGAGCTGATGTCTCTCTAAGGACACTGTAATCTGCCTGTATACAGGAGAGAGAATTTTTAAAAAAAATATGGAACGCTTCATGAATTTGCATGTCATCCTTGTGCAGGGGCCATGTTAATCTTCTTTGAATCGTTCCAATTTTAGTATATGTGCTGCCGAAGCGAGCACAGGAGAGAGAATTTGAAGGCTGTGTAGAGGAGCCTGAGCCTTCAGTTGACCAATTTGAGTTACAACCAGCCCTCACAAATGAAGTGAGTTCATAAGTCAAGGGTCCACTGTACTGATACATGCTACAACATAGGTGAACCTTGAGAGCATTATGCTAAGTGAAAGAAGCCAGTCACAGAAGACCACAGTGTTAGGATTTGATTTATATAAGATGTCCACGAAAGGCAAATCATGTGGAAGAAAGATTAGTGATTACCTAGGGCTGGAGGGGAGAGGGAAATCAGGTATAAAACACAAGGTTTATTTTTGAGGTGACAAAAGTGTTTTTGAGGTGACCAGATATTCTAAAATTGGTTGTGGTGATGGAAGGAAAACTAAAAGCCATGGAATTGTGCATTTTAAATGGATGAATTGTATGGGATATGAATTATATCTTAAAAAAACAGCCAAACATCCGGGGATTTTAGCTCAGTGGCACTGTGCCTGTTTTGCAAGCACAAGGTCCCGAGTTCGGTCCCTGGTACAAAAAAACAAAACTAACAAAAAAACAGCCAAACAAAAAAATCTTCATTTACCATTTAAAACTTTAACAGCTAAACAGAGTAAACACAAAAGTAGATTGAACCTTCTATATAATCACTAGGCAACCCTCTTTGATAATGACAGCGCTTCCCAAATAATGTTATTCAGCAGAGCTTCACATTAAATATTAAAATGTTTCACTTAGTACCTGTTGAATAAAAATTATAGGAGGCCATTTTTTTAACCTATGTTCTTGCACTAGACCCCAATAAACCTGGAAAAAAATCAAAATAGATTTACTAACAGGCATAAGGCCCTGGGGTTCAATCCCCAGCACCAAAAGAAAAAAAAATGGAGTCACTTACACAAAAGTTCCAGCTGAGATGTTTGGACTCTCTGGTTCTAAGGTGCTCAGTGTAGACATGATTTCTGATCTGAGAGAGGAAGGCCATCCAGCGGGAGGACCATTGCCTCTCTTCCCTGACTTCTCTGGACCCCTTGCTATGAGACATCATGACTTTAATGCAGACCCCTTCTCTAATGCTGTTCCTTTTTTTTTTTTTTTTTTTTTGGGTACCAGGGATCGAACTCGGGTCCTTGCGCTTGCGAGGCAGGCGACGGAACCACTGGGCTAAATCCCCAGCTCTAATGCTGTTTCTTTATTATACCCTTTTCCTACAATAGGCTGTATGTGTATAAGCACTGTCATTTTGGGTTTTGTTAGTATTTACCAATTAAATCCTCTTTAACTGCCACTGTTAGGATATATCAATTTTATGAACTATTATATTTTATGAAAATAAATGTGAAGACTATGCTGGGCACGATGGTGCATGCCTATAAACCCAACACACTGCGGGGCTGAGGTAAGAGGGTCATAAGGTTGAGCCCAGCTTGTCTCAAAATTTGAAAAGAGGGCTGGGTATGTAGCACAATATGAAGACTTTGAGTTCAGTCCCCAGTACTGAAAAAAAAGGAAAATAAATTTGAAGACTATAACCATAAAGTACAATGGCCTATGAGATATTAAGAAAAAAATATAAAATTTTGTCTAAGCTACAATAGTAAAATCATAAAATTATATTTATTGGCAAGAATAGGAGTGGACATAGGAGAGGTTCTGGGTAAGGTTTTTGTTTTTTTTCATTCAAAAATTTGCAAGGTAAACATGGTGGCACACAGCTGTAATCCCAGTTCTTGGGAGGATCAGACAGGAGAATCAAAGCCTGGGCTACATAGTGAATTCAAGGCTAGCCTGAACTACAGAGTGATACCCTGTCTTTAAAATATTTGCAGGGTTGTTTATTTATTTAATGTTTTTTCTATTCAAAAATTTGCAAGGTTGTTTAATAAGAAAAAGAACTTAACCACCTAAGGACCAAATGTCATTTTGCCTTTGGGCAATGATATTTACCAATGATATCTTTCATATTTTATATATTCACATCTGTAATACATATTATATAATGGATATATATCCTATATAACATACATAATATATATCAATGATATTTATTATCAATCCATTTGGCAAGCCTTATGACATTGTTATACACTACATATCTAGCACTTCATTCTGTCTCCCAACAGCAAGATAAAATGTGGAAAGAACACTGCATAGGTTATCAGAGGACTGAGTTCTAGTCTTAGATTTTTAGTTACATGATCAGAACCACATGCATTCCCTTTATCAGGGTTTCCTGGATCTTTTTTTTTTGGTACCAGAGATCGAACTCAGGACCTTGCACTTTCAAGGCAGGTGTCAGAACCACTGAGCTAAATCCCCGGCCTATCAGGGTTTCTATATTTCTCAATGATATAATAATTATTATAATTTAAATCTAGAATGTCCCCCAAAAGTCTCCTGTGTTCAGTGATGGGGATTTCAGAGGCAACTGGATCATGAGGGCAATCACATCATCAGTGCATCAATCCATTGATGAGTTGATAGCTGAATGGGCCTATTGGGAGGTGGGTCCAGTTGGGGCCCTGCCTTTGGAGGGTGTATCTTTCAGTCTGGCTCCCTTTCTGCTCTCTCAGCTTCTTTTTTCTTTTTTTTTTTCCAGTACCAGGGATTGAACTCAGGACCTTGGACTTGCCAGGCAGGCACTGGTACCACTGAGCTAAATCCCTGGCCCCTCGGCTTCTAATCATTGTGAGATATAGTTTTCCTTTGCCATGCTCTCCACCATGATGTTTCTGAAGCCTTGGAGCCAGCTGACCACAGACTGAAACTTGTGAAATCACAAGTCAAAATAAATCTTTCCTCCTTTAAGCTATATTTGTCAGGCATTTTGTCTCTGTGACAGAAAGCTGACTAATACAATGATTAAAGTAAGACAATGATTACCAGTGACTCTGGCATAACTCTTTGCTATAAAACAGTAAGCAATAGTTTTAAAATCATCAATACCATCAACACAGTAGATGAATAACAGCATAAGAGAATAGGAAACTTCAACCTATGGAACAGACTGGAAGACTACAGAGAAGTGGGTCATGGAGAAACCCTAATAAATAAATAAATAAATAAATAAACAAACAAATAAAGAAATGACTGAAAGAGGACTTAGTTTTAAAATCATCAATACCATCAACACAGTAGATGAATAACAGCATAAGAGAATAGGAAACTTCAACCTATGGAACAGACTGGAAGACTACAGAGAAGTGGGTCATGGAGAAACCCTAATAAATAAATAAATAAATAAATAAACAAACAAATAAATAAACGCACTCATCATATGTCAGACACTAAGCCACCACTGTATATATTCACTCATTTAATTCTTGCAACAAATGTATGACTTAAATACTGCTAGTTTGCCCATTTTAAAGATGAGTAACTACCCAGGCACAATGGCAAAAAACCTGTAATCCTGGCACTCTAGGGGGCCCAGGCAGGAGGATTGAAATTTCAAATCCACCCTGGGCAACTTAGTGATTTAGCAAGACTTTGACACAAAATTTTTAAAAGATTGGGGGCTTAGCTGAGTATAAAGGCCCTGCATTCTATCCTCAGTACTGAAAACAAAACAAAACAAAACCCCTCAGGCACAGAGGTTTTATAATTTGCCCAAGATTATACAGCTAGTTTCTAATAGAACCAGGATTTGTAACCAGGCAGTGTGGCTCCAAAGTCCATCCTCTGAACTACTCTGCTCCATACACTTCAGAGGAGGAGACTGAAAGGAATCTGGCAGAATCACGAGCTAGAAATGGAAAGAGAAGGAAGTTCAGGAAGTGTGTGTGTGTGTGTGTGTGTGTGTGTGTGTGTACTGGGACCAAGCCTAGTCCAGGCTGGGCAAGCAATCTAGTACTGAGCTACATCCCCAGGATCCCCTCTCCCCATTTATTTATTTTTTTAAATTTTATTTTTATTTATTTATTTTTTGGTACCAAGGATCGAACTCAGGACCTTGCGCTTTCGAGGCAGGTGTCGGAACAACTGAGCTAAATCCCCGGCCCCCCATTTTTAAAAAGGAGATGTGATTCTCACTATGTTGCCTAGGCTGGCCTTAAAGTCCAAGTTCAAGCAATCCTCCTGCCTGCCTCAGCCTCCCAAGTACCGTAGCTGGGATTACAACTGTGTGCCTTTGGGCCGGATAGGGACATAACTTTTACTTGAGTATCTACTTTTTTTTTTTGGTGCCGGGGATCAAACTCAGGACCCTGCGCTTTAAAGGCAGGCAGCGGAACCACTGAGCTAAATCCCTGGCCCAACTTGAGTATCTACTATGGACAGGAGACTGTGGATAAAGTCCATATGCCCTTGAACAGCTTATAGCCTCGTAAGGAAGAGAGCTAGTGAACTGCATTCTTTGAACACAGTGACAAACTCTGAAATAAGTACAGAGAGGCATGGACAAAGGGGTACAGGGATACAAAGAATGAGCACCTTGCCATCACAGACTGGGGTGTCAAGAGAGGCTTCTTTAAGGATATGACACTGAGTCTAAGCATTCTGAGTTGAAATGAAGATTTTAGATGGCAAAGGGTGGTTCAGGCTGAGCAAAGTATGTGAAAAGAAAAAGGCTGGAAGGCAAATCAGAGGGTTCAAAATAAGTTAGATACCCACAGAGCTCAACAAGTGGTAATTCTTTTCTCCCTTTCATTCCTGGGAAGGCAATGGACCCCATATCTTCCTAGGAAAAGCTCTGTGGATGGAAGTTCTGGAAACAGGAAGATCTCAGTGGCACGGAGAAGTTGGCTGTAGGGACCCTCCCACTGCCTGCGGCTGCTCAGTCAGGGACAGCTGCTCCCCAGTCTCTGCTGCACATTTACCTCATCTGCTGGTTGAGCTGCGTCAGGTATTGTTTGTGTTCTTCCCATAGAGCTTCCTTTTCTTGCAGCAGCTCAGACAGCTTCTCTGACAATTCCTGGTTGCTCTTGATATGCTGGGGGAAATTAAAAAATAAAAAATAAAAACAAGAATAGCCTGTTTGGTAAAGGTATGTGGTTGAAGGAATGTAAATTGGCAAAGGCTTTCTGCTGAAAAATGTTACAGCTCCTCTAGCTTCTGAGATTGGAGTAGCTTCATATAATTCCTGCACTTCCAGAGTTCCTAAAAGCCAGCAGTTGCTTTCTTTGACTTTTGCTCCCCTAGCCTTGCCAATAACTCTGTAAACATCTAATTCCCCATGTTAAAAATCTTCCAGTTTCTGGATTATAACTCCCTCCCCAAGGTAGGTTATAAAAACTGATCTTACCCTGCCTTTAGCCGGTCATAAAGAAATTCTTTGACCTACCTTGTCTGATAAGACTCATAAAACCCTCCTCATACCAGAGGGTTCAGCCCTGGAGGAAAGAATGCTACACAGAGAAGCCAAGAAGAGTCTGGTAGGACAGACCTTGCTGGGTTTTCCTCACTCAAGACTGTTAGCAGTCAAGCCTACGCTAGGAAGTCTCCAGAGAACCCCAAAGAACATACACACAGGGCCTTGCAGGAAGGCAATAAGAACTGCAGACTAAGCCCAGGCAGAAGCTCCTACCCTCAGGACCAGTCCAGACCTTGCCCCAGGTGACTGCTCACGTGTACCCTTTGAATACTTTTTGTAATTAGCAGCAAACAGAGGAGGAGCATTCCCTGAGTTCTAAGAGCCACTGCAGCAGACAAATGGAAATGAGGAGAGGGTTATGGGAACCCCAGTTTATGCCACAGGCCTCGATTTGCTCCTGGGTCTATGTGGGGACACTCTGGGAGTGGAGCCTCAACCTGTGGTGACTAGTGCTATCTCTGTAGACTGTGTCAGGACTGAATTAAATTAGAAGACATCCCAGCTGGTGTTCACTGCTGTAGCACTGCTTGTTTGCCTGCCAGTGGGGAGAAACCCAACACCATTTTTTTCGTGGTGTGTGTGTGTGTGATACTGGGTATTGAATCTGGGGCCTTCACATTGAACTATATCCCCAGATCTTTTTTCATTTCTTATTTTATGACAGGGTCTCACTAAATTGCTAAATTGCCCAGGCTCTGCTTGAATTTTGGATCCTCCCACCTCAGCCTCCCAGCTTTCTGGGAAGCATGTGCCTCTGCACCTGGCTTCCCACACCTACTGAGATCTTGGAAGTCTGATGTGGAATGAGATTAGAGGGAAAAAAGACAGTTTGTTTTTTCATAACACAAGTATATGAAATAAAAGCTTTTTCTCTTGGTTTAACCTTGACTGATAAAGTATTTGGTTCTAGAAGTAGCTGTAGTGAATAGAAACGCCAAGTTGAGAATCTGACCTTGTTAGATAATTCCTTCCCTCTCTCTTTCTCTCTCTGACCTTTGCACTGAGCTACATTCCCAGCTGTTTTAAAATTTTTTTTATTTTGAGGGGTCTTGTTGAATTGTCTGAGTGGGAATCAAAATCGTGATCCTCCTGGTTCAGCCTCTCAAGTGTTATGATTACAGGTGTGCACTCTTGGCATGGTTAGATTTGAAGGTTCAAGTTGAATATCCCTTATCCAAGATGCTTGAGTTTAGAATTATTTTAAATTTAAAATTTTGGGAGGGATTTTGGGATATTTGCATTGACATAATGAGATATCGTGGGGATGAGTCCTAAACAAAAAATTAATCTTATTCACATAGCCTGAAAATAATTTTATACAATGTTTTTAGTCGACTTGTACTTTGTGAACTATCATATGAGGTCAGATCTGGAATTTTCCAGCTGTGACGCCATGTCAGCACTTCAGATTTTCTTGGGTAGATGGATAGATGGATGGATAGATAGATAGATACTGGGGTTTCAGTATGTCATGCAGGCTGGTCTCAAATTCTTGGGCTCAAGTGATCCTCCTGCCTTAGCCCTGAGTACCTGGGACTATAAGCATGCTCTCATGCCTAGCTCAAAAAGTTTCAGATTTGGGAGCATTTTGGATTTCAGAGTTTTTAGATGAGGGAGGCTCAACCTGCAATATGATCTTGTCATTACTACTAGAAACCCAGGGCAAAAGAGTTCATTAAATTATCAATTTGCAAGACCATATGACTGGTGCAAAGAATGTTATAATGGAATTGAGAACTACAAGTATCTTGGAGTGAGTTAGTCACCTCTGACCATAGTAATAAGCTTATAAGGAGAAAATGTCCAACTTGGGGATTTAATTACTGGAACAAGGCATAATTAGAGAAGCAGAGAGCTTCTGTGAGTGCCTTAAAGTAATATCTCCTGTAGCCAGAAGACCAGTGTAACCAAATCCCAAATTTCATTTAATGGGTTGCAGACTTACAGCACCAATTGATGTTATGGCCTTGCCAGAACTCTTATGTGAAAAACAAGGATCTGAGTTGGAAATGAAAACATCTAAGAGGACCTGAAAATCCAGTGAGCTTCTCTTGCCAGCACAAGCAGTCCTCCTGCTAAGGAGATTAACCACCTTGTTCTGAGGACTCTGTATTACTTTCATGTGAGGCAGTTGCCTTGTAAGGAGATGCCTATTATTTTTAAGACCCACCTCTATATCACTACCACTTCTGATAGCCTCCAGTCCTGCATAACTAGAGTCGAGTCCCAGCACACCCTGGGGGGTGCTGAATATAGGGACTGACTTCGGGACTGCCATATTGAAAGACTGGCAAGATTCTGCCAATTTAAGTTTATCAGAAATTACACTAGTGAGGAAGGACCATAACATTGAACAGGCCAAATTTATTGACATTAATGCACTTATGGAGAGTAAGGATTTAATGTGTTAACTTGAAACATCTAAAGATGACTTTAATAGTTTGCCTAATTGAAAATTGGACCCAACAGCAACCTATATTAAATGACAGTAAAATGCCATATTTTGCCAAGGATGGTGGCACGCACCTGTAATCCTAGCACCTGGGAGGTTGAGGCAGGAGGATCTTGAGTTTGAGGCCAGCCTGAACTACATAGGGAGAACCTCTCTCAAAACAAATTGTGAAAGATGCCATAGTTTGTTTTTTGTTTTGTTTTGTTTTGATGGTATTGGGGATCAAATCTTGGGCCTTCACACAGGGCTACATCCCCAGCCCTTTTTTTAGTTTTTGTTTTGAGACAGGGTCTCCCTAAATCACTAGATTGTTCAGGCTAGGCTCAAAATTATGATCTTCCTGCCTCAGCCTCCTAAAGGGCTGGGATTATATCTCCACGCCTGAAGATACCATACTTCTGGTTGAGTATGTGGCTTAGTGGTTGAGCACGTCAATCATGCACAAGGCCCTGGGTGTAATCCCCAGCTGCCTCCCAGAAAAGATGCTTAAGGGAGAAGAGGGAAACTAAAGGCTTCAGAACACAGAAAATTAAGAGTGGATTTATCACAAGTGAGCTGCTCATCCATCTCAAAACCACGAGGGTCCAGAATATACTCTTTTCACCAAGGCTTCACCAAGTACTGGCGAGTGAGCACCAGATTACTTGAAATGCTCTAGAACGAGAACCTGCAGAAAAAGATGGTGGGAGGTGCCAGTGCTGAAGTGGCTCCCTGGTTTTCATTGGGTTGATTGCACTACAAGGTGTCAGGGGGTCAAGCAGCAGTGCTTAAATCCCAGATACAAGATGGGCATTATTACTGCTCGTAGGTAACAGAGCCAGGGATATGATCAAATGATTTCATAGCAATCTAGTGGTGATGAATTAGTCAAAGTGATTATAGTACTAAAATAGATGAGATTTAAATCTTTCTGGAATTGTATTTTTATTTATTTATTTATTTATTTTTGGTACCAGGGATCGAACTCCAGTCCTTGTGCTTGTGAGGCAGGCGGGAGAACCACTGCAGCTAAATCCCTGGCAGGAATTGTATTTTTAAATAAGTAAATCCCCTTGTTTCTGGTGAACAGCCCAATTTAAATGACAGAGGGGGAGTGTGAAGGCCTGTTTGTGCTCAGTCCCTAGATTTGAGCCAGTTCACAGACCTGGAGGCCATGACTGATGTGTCAAAACCCTATGTAGTCCAGGGTGGCCTTGAACTTGTGATTCTCCTGCTTCAGCCTCCCCAGTGCTGGGATTATAGGCATGTGTTACCATGCCCAGTTTATTGAGGATATTTATATCTACATCCATAAGAGATACTGATCTGTAGTATGTTTATAATGTCTAGTTTTGGTATTAAGGTAATTTTAGCCTCATAGAATAAGTTAGGAAGTATAGTTTCTGCTTTTTCCTTATGAAAGAGAGTAAAGAACTGGTATAATCAGGGGCCAGGGATTTAGCTCAGTGGTTCCAGCGCCTGCCTCACAAGTGCAAGGATCCGAGTTCGATCCCCGGTACCAAAAAATCAAGAACTGATATAATTTATTTCTTAAGCGTTTGGTAGAGCCAGGCATAGTGATGCATGCCTGTAATCCCGGCACACTAGGAGGATGAGGCAGGAGGACTGCAAGTTTGTGCCAAGGGTGGGAAATTTAGCAACTTAGTGAGACTGTTTCAAAAAATAAGGAGAGGGTTGGGGAGGTAGTTCAGTGCAGACTCTGGGCTCAATCACTACTACTCCAAAAAGAAGGGAAGGAAGTAGAAGAAAAAGAAAGAAAGAGAAAAAAGAGAGAAGAAAGCAAGCAAGTTAGTTTGGTAGAATTTACCAATAAAACCATCTGGTCCTGATGCTTTTTTTCTCTTTTTTATTTTTGGTACTAGGAATCAAACTCAGGGCCTCCTGCTTGCTAGGCAGGTGCTGGGTCCTGATATTTTTTGTTTTAAGGTTATTAATTGAAAACTCAATTTCTTTACTAGTTATAGTTCTATTAGATTGTCCATTTCTTGGTTTTTTTTTGTTTTTTTTTTTTTTGGTACTGGGGATCGAATTTGGGTCCTTGCACTTGCACAGCCAGCGGTGAAACCACTGAGCTAAATCCCCACCCCCAAGATTGTCCATTTCTTTATGAATGAATGTGGCAGACTGTGCCTTTCCATCCCATGTGCCACATGAGGACCAAGGCATTGGTCCATTCCATCCATGTTATCTTCTTTGTGGGCACATAGCTGTTTATAGTATTTCAATGTTTATGGGACCTACAGTGATGTCCCCTCTTTAGTAAGGTGCTGGTAAGGTGTCTGTATGTGTGGGGGATGGGTAGCATCCTGCAGTCCTATGATTAGATTTTATTGAGCTTGTAATTTCTGGACTGTGAGTTTCACACAGGTACCCAGCCTCCACCCCCCCACCCCCGCCGCCACATACACCTTTATGTGGGACAGAATTGTCAGGAGTTGGGTGTTTCCCTCTCCTAGGTCAGTTAGGCTCCAACAAACCCCTATCAGGGTAGGCTCTGGTTAAGCAGTTTCCCATCAGGGCAAACCTTGTTAAGAAGTTCAAAATGAGCTGGATGTAGTGGTGCATGTCTATAATCCAGCACCCTGGGAAGCTAAGGGGAGGAGGATCACAGGTTTGACTCCAGCACGGGCAACTTGGCAATTTAGCAAGACTTGGTCTAAAATAAAAGAGGACTGGGGATATAGTTCAGTGTGAATGTCCTGGGTTTAGTCTATAGTACTGCAAAGTAAAAAAAAAAATCAAAATGGTTTTTTTCCCATTCCCCTGTCAGGAGCACAAGGGAACTTTTCTCAGATATTCATTCTAGGATTCTGGTAAGCTCCAGGAGGCAAAACTCACAAAAATATGGGGGCCCCATAATGACTGGGTCCCCTGGAGTTATCTTTCAGACTTATATACACCATGCCTCCAATAATTCATCAATTAACACTTCAGGTTGCCCTACCCAGGGACTATTTCTCATGGGGCGTTCACTCTGGTAAACTGTGATTCTTTAGATTTGTCTGTGGTATCTTCAATTTCAGGGGCAGCCTGTGATCTCATCCCTTTCATGGAGGAAGAAGAGCTGTTGATTTTTTCAGTTTGTTCAGCTTTTAATTTGCGTTGGGATAAAATGGAGATGACTTCCAAACTGCTTTCATGCAGAACACAAATCCAGATGCTTTCCTAAAGCCCCCAAAGGACAGGGCTCCGAGAGCTTCCAGCTTGCTGAAATATGGAGGCTCAGGGAGGGCGGTGTGTCCAGAGAGGGAATGGGAGCTCCATGGCTCTTCCCACCACCTTGCCCTATGCATGTCTTCCATCTGGCTGTTCCTGAGTTGTATCCTCTTGTAATAAGCAAATGACTTAGTAAATCAGCTGTTTTCCTGATTTTTGTGAGCCATTCAAACAAGTGATCAAACCTGATAGTAGGTTATAGAAACCCCAGATTTATAGCTAATGGTCAGAAAGACAGGCAAAAAACTGGACTTGCAATTGGCATCTGAAGTGGGACAGCCTTGTGGCATGGAGCCCTTAACTAAAGGAATCAAATGCTAATTCCAAGAAGATGTGTCAGAATTGAATTGAACTTGTATACACCTGTGGGGAACACATAGCCTTGAAGAGCTGCTTGGTGTGTGTGTGGGAAACATACATCTGGCGTCAGAAATGTGAATAGTGTTAAAGCCAGGAGATAGAAAAGAAGCTAGGCAGATAGGGCACAAGTCCTGAATAGTTAACCTGAAGTAAACTAAAAGTTGGGGCTTAAGTGAGTTAACATATCAGAGGGCTCAAATAATTAACTTAAGAAAGCTGAGTATCAGGCCCTAATGAAATGCTAGGGACAAAAAAACAGGTCCCTAAGCAAATGGGAGGAGCCCTGGAGAAAGTAAAATGCAAACAAAGCAGCTTGCTTTCTGGACATCAAAGGCCTACTAGCAACGAAGAGCATCCCTGTTTTCTGTCACATTCATCTATACCAAAACTGTATAAAAAGCCAGTAGATTTAAGCATCTATGGTGTATGCCTTATGGAACCCCTCTCTGACAAGCAGGGAGCTTTCCCTTTTATTCTTTCTAATAAACACACCTTTGGCCATTCCCCACTGCTTGCTTTGTGCTGTTTTGTTGGCTTCACTCTTTGTTGCCCCAAAACAAGAACCCAAGAGCTAGAGGGAGGTAGTTACAGTGTAAACATAGAGAAAAAAAATTAACAGTTTTTATTCCCCCTTTCTCCTCTAGCACTAGCAGGTAGATGAAGGGGCAGAAAGCAGATGAGGCACTGTGGGGGTTCAGGGAGAGTCCTGCAAATTCCTCATTTTGGTGCCATAGGAAATGGCTTCCTTGTGACTTCTGAACTAGATTTATTGAAAGCCCACAGCAGTTCCTTCTGATCTGTTTTCTCCCCCTGCTGTCCTTTCCAACAGCTTTGTGAGAATTCTTCCTCCTGTGTTAAATCCCTTCTTGTTTATGTTGGGGTTCAAAACACACCACCCCAACATCCCAACATCCCAACACATGCCCCAACAGGAGACTGGAATGAGCCACCCCAAAATATACTTCTTTGGCATATTTCAAGCTGGTCATTCTGAGAAACTGTAGACGTAGGAGTAGCTCTGAAAAGCTGTCCTGTTGTAGAAGAAATTTACATCTATACAGGAAATCTGGACTTGTACAAGTTATCTGTGTTAGGAAGAGGGCTGCCACAGGCAACTTTTATACCTAAGAGACTTTCATTTGCATACAAGACAATCTTTACTCACCTCACATTTCCTCCACACACCCCCATAACTTGTCCCCATCACACCCCAGAGGCCCAAGCCCTCATTCCTTTCTGTAGCTCAGGATGTCACACAAATTTCAATCATCAGACTCTTCTTGAGTCTCACATTTGTTTTATGTCCTTGCATGTGTACCTAATTAAAATTACTCTGTCATGTCAATTTCATTTGTAGCCCAGCCAAAGAACCTCGCAGTGCAGAGAGAAGCCATTTCCCTTCCACTGGCACTCGACACACCCACAGTAGATTAAGCTTTCCTGGCAGATCCATGACTAAAGTGAATGAGTGAAGTGCTAGGCACTCAATAATACGTCACTATTACTCAGGTCTATGTGATTAAGAAAACTTAGGCATATCTATTTACTTTCTTACCTCATCGCATTTTCTTTTTTCATTTTCGAATTGTTTAAGTAAGGCTTCTTGTTTCTGAGAACTGGTCATTTCCAGTTGATTCTCTTTCTCTTGTAAGGTTCTCACTTGCCTTAGTAGTTCATTTACATTCTGATCTAGTAGTTTCCTGAGGACAATTAATGCACATTAAATCACACCATGTATCACCACATTTTGCAATGAAACTTAGACCTAAACTTTGTATGCCATCACAGGGGATTTTTTTTTTTTTTAATTCAATGAAGCAGGGCATGTGTCCATAAAATAAAGGGAATAACACAGGGAACCTCCTTTATGATAGAAACTTTACTTAGTTATCTTTCACTATCAAAACAACCCCATGAGGAATAAATAATTTTCTTATTTCAGAAATGAGGAAAATGTGGCCCAGAGAACAGCTAGGACAAGGTGGAAGTAGAGCTCTAATCCTGTACACCATATTCATTCTTTTCCATGGTTTATGAATTGAGCCCTTGATCTTGTGGGTTCAGTCTAGGGCTGGGAGTTACAAACACTGCTACAAATGAATCATGAATGAGCCTACATTTGATGAGGAAATTTATCCCTTTTCCAAAAGAAAGCCATTAGCACTTTAGTCCTTCAGAATAAGTCTCATTAGGCTCGTTTGCAGAAAGACTTTTGGAGGATTTCTGACCAAAGTTCTCTGGACTTAGGAGATTCATCTTGAAGACTATGATGATGATAATATTGAATTAGTATTGGTGAGTAAAATTCTCACCTATATGCTAGGGCAGTAAAATACTATCAGATATTGAACAAATAAGTTTGCTTTCTCTAACCTCAGTATTCTGAGAAACCAATGGATCACTGGGAAGATTTATATCCAAGACATGGGCATATACCTCTCTATCCCTAGTTCTTATGTCTCTTGGTGTAAATTCAAGGTCTCTAAGGATTTCTGTAGCTTACTTTCTACCACTCCCACCCATCACTATATCAACATTCCTTCTGTCATTTCTGTTTTATCTCATTTACTGTGTGTATATCTGAGCAATTTCCTCCTATTATGCCGTCTTCTTTTTGGTTCCATTTTTAGTTTCTGATCAAGGAACAAGACTAAGAGGCAGGCCTTGGAAGTTAAAAACTGAAATTGAAAAGCAGGAAGTCAAAATTAAAACAGCAGCTCAGGAATGTGTTAGAAATTAGTTCATACATTATATAGAGAGTTTTAAAAAGTAAAGACTAGTAGAAATTGCAGTTTGATAAGACACCTGTTTTCCCTATTGACTGAGCTTCTTTTCCAATTCATTCTTTACTTAGCAGCGAATATTCCTTCTAAATTTTGATCTGATTATCTTTCTTTCTCTCTCGCTCTTTCTTTCCTCCCTCCCTCCTCCTCTCTCTTCCCCTTCTTTATCTTCCTCCTCTTCCCTTCTTTATCTTCCTCCTCTTCCTCCTCCTTCTTCTTCCTCCTCCTCCTTTTAATCTTCCTCTTTCTCCTCCTCTTCTTTTTCCTCTTCCTCCTCCTTCCTCTTCCTCCTCCCCCTCTTCCTACCCTTCTTCCTCCCCCCTTCTTCTTCCCCTCTCTCTCTTTTTCTCTCCCTCCCTCCTTCCCTCCCTCTCTCCCTCCCTCCCTCAGTGCTAGGATTGAAACCAAGGCCTTATGCATGACTGAACCACATCCCCAGGGGACCTCAAGAGATTTATTACAGTAACCGGGTTTTACACAAGTGCTGATTTCATAGTCTGTGTGGCTGTCATCTTTGTGTCATATCCTGGAGCTGAAAGTCTACAGGACAATCAAGAAGTGAAGATGGATGTAAAGCGGGAAGAACAACAACAAACTGGAACCCATGAGGATGGGTGGGAACCCACGCCAGCTCTCACTGCCTCCAACCTTGATAAAGTAGGTATCCTGCGAGAAAAGCTGCCACCTCTGTTAAGGAGCTCAGGAGATGCCTGGCCCAGGAGAAGGAGAAGTTGAAGGAGGACCCAAGGGCAGGAGGAGCTATTATAGGCCTGCCTGTTGCCTCACGTCAAGGTGAGCTGCAGATATGTGCAACATATGTGAACTGCAAAAGCACCTGCTCCAACTTGCCATGCATAGATAACAAAATGCTTCACTTTTGCCCTTCTGCACAAATGTATCTCTTGTGGTCTACTCTAACCAGAAACATTCATTGAAGGAATACTGAGAAACATGTTTTTCTTAGCCAAGTTGATACATTACAAAAGCCATTATAATGAAAAAGTGTTATTGTAATATTTGATGCTATTGTTATTACTATTATTATCATCATTTTCTTCAGTAAAGTGAGCATTTGGCCAGAACAAAATGTTTGGGGATAAAGAAAGTGACAAGACAATGAGACTAGAAGGGTAAGATAGGTCTATGTCACATAGAACCTAACAAACCACTTTAAAGAGTTTGGGTCTGTTCATGAGAGATACTGGTCTGCAGTTTCCCTTTCTTGTAATATCTTTATCTTGTTTTGGTATTAGGGTAATGCTTGCCTCAAAAATATTAATTAGAGGGTTGGGGATTTAGCTCAGTGGCACCGCGCCTGCCTCACAAGATCCTGAGTTTGATCCCCAGTAAAACCCCCCTCAAAACACCAAAAAAAACAAAACATTAGTTAGAAACTGTCCTCTCTCCAAATTTTCTGGAAGAGATTGTAAGAAGTGATATTCTTTCTTAAATTTTTGGTGGGATTCACCAGTGAAACCATCTGAGCCTACTGTTTTAGTTTTGGAAGGTTATTAGCTATTGATTCAATTTTTTTTTCTTGAGATTGAGGTCTTGCTATGTTTTCTAGACTGGTGTTGAACTTTTGGACTAAGTGATCTCTACCATCTCAGCCTTCTGGGAGGACAGATGTGTGCTACCATGCCCAGCAGGATTCAATTACTTTGGTAGATACTGTATAGGCCTATTATAATTATTTGTTTCTCTTAATTTATGTCTTTCAAGAAATTGGTCCATTTCATCTAAGTTTTCAAATTTGTAGGCATAGAATTGTCCTTTAGTATTCTTTTAATATCCATGGGATCAGTGGTTCCACCACCTGCCTGGTGAGCGCAAGGACCGGAGTTCGATTCCCAGTACCAAAAAAAAAGAAAAAGAAAAAGAAAAAAAAGAAGTATGTTATCTCTGAGTATTTGGGATTTTCTGGTTTTTGTTACTGATTGATAGTTTCATAGTACACTATTGTTGTAAGCAATTGTACAGCATTCTGTTACAGGGTGCGATGGTTAATTTTGGTTGTTAACTTGACTAGCTTGAAAGATGTCTACACAATTGGTAAAGTGGATGTCTGGGTGCCTGTGAGGTGTCTCCAGAGAAGACTGGCATGTGGGTCAGTGAACTGAGTGGGGAGGACCTGCCCTGGATGTGGGCAGCACCATCTAAAAGGCCAGATAGAACAAAAAGGTGGAGGAGCAGAGAAACTTGCTCTCCTGCAGGCTCAGCTCTTTTGAATGGTACATTTTTCCCCGGCTGCTGTCACCCTTTGGCATCAAACTCTAGGTTCTTCAGTTTTTGAAAGTAGACTTGCATCAGCAACTTTCCAGGGTGAGTTTCAGGTCTTTGGCTTTGTCCTGGGGTTACATCCTTAGTGCCTCTTGTTCTGAGGCTTCCGGCTTCCTGGACTGAGCAGTGGCTGCTTTCCCCAGCTCTCCAGCCTGCAGATGGCCACTGTGGGGCCAATCAGCCTCGATCACATGAGCCAATGCATTAAATCTCCTCTTATAATTAAATATGTTCTATTTCTTCAGAGAAGCAAAATACACTTACACATTCATAGACATAACATAATTTATGTAAGTCTTCTGTTTATGCTTTTGAGACAGTCTCATTTTGTTGCCTAGACTAGCCTTGAGCTCCTGTGTTCAAGTGATCCTCCTGCCTCAGTCTCCTGAGTAGGTGGGACTGCAGGTGCCCACCACTGTGCCTGGCTTAATACATCTTTCATACCTTTTTGCTATTATAAATAATGCTATAGTGAAAATCTTATATATGATACTATACACTAGCTACAAAAAAATGTTTGGTGGGGGGAGTGACAAAAAAAAAGGCTAGAATGGTAGTCTAGGCATAGTTCATACAGTGTTTAGCAAGCCACAGTCAACAGTCTGGACTTCACTTAAGAGTAATGGGGAGCCACAGAAGAATTTTAAGGAGTGTGAGGTAGGGCATGTATGTGAGTCACTCTCCATAGCATACAAATAAGAAGCCTTGCCGGGGATTTAGCTCAGTGGTTCCGGCGCCTGCCTCACAAGCGCAAGGTCCTGAGTTCGATCCCTGGTACCAAAATAAAAAAAACAAAACAAATAAGAAGCCTTGGTCAAAGTCTAGGGCATCCAAGAAGATGCTTTAAATAAGAATCATAATAGTAACCATAATTTTAGATTAAAAAAACCAGATGACAGCTCTTATCTGGTAGCAGTTTGTTGATTAAGATTCCTAAACTGGGCGTGATGCCACACTCCTGTAATCCCAGCACTCGGGAGGCTGAGGCAGGAGGATCTCTGAGAGCTTGAGGCCAGCCTGGGCTACACAGTGAGTTTAAGGCCAGTCTGAACTGCCTAGCAAGACCTTGTCCAGAAAACCAAAAAAGATGCCTATAAAGTCCCTGGAAGCACTTTGAAGAGCATTAGTAGGTAAATACAAAACACTAACCTCATTGTAGTCTGAATTTGTACCAGTCACATCAGAGAGTTAGAAAAACAAATCCCAGAATATCGTATTTTATAGGCAACCCAGTCATTCAAGAAAATTTACCTATGCATCAGGTATGTCCCAGAACAAGAAAAAAAAAATCTCTGCCTCTAGGAATCACACGCTGGTGGCAGAGTCAACCAAGAAAATAAACAATTAGTTTCATTTTATTAAGGGCTGAAGACAAAAAGTTGTGCTGGTGGGTTTACTTCAGCAGAGACAGAAAACACAATGAATCAGGAAAAGGACGTTGCTCTTGAGCTCAGTCTTGCTCAAACCCATGCAACCCTGAGCTCTCTGCTCCTCCTACCTCTTCTGCTGTTCTTCCTGATATTGCTGCTTTAACTTAGCTTCATTTTCTGTTGCTTCACTGATTCTTTCCTCTAGTTGCTTCTTCCTCAGAGTACAAGCGTCTGTGAGACAGACATTACGAGCATGTTCTAATTTCTGCTGCAAGTCCAAAATCTTGAAAGAAAAAATTTATAAGCAAAATTTTAGGATGAGTGTGACCGTTTTTTGAATTAGAGAAACAGCATATAACTGTTAAGCATAGCACTGCTCATATACAAATCTGACCAAGTAACAAGTATGGCTACCCTTCACTTTAAATTACTTAATATTTGATATATGTAATGCATTCATATAATTCAATGTTGATGTATAAAAGAAGGTATTTAGTAAAAAGAATCCTTCCTCAAAAAAAAAAAGAATCCTTCCTCTCTACATCCCATTTCTTTCCAGTTTTCCTCCACCAAATAGGTAACCACTGTTAATTAGTTTTTTTGTAGCCATCCAAAGATTTTTTTTTCCACAAATATTTTTTCACAGCTATTTCTTCCAGAGTATATTTCCACAAATATTATATAGTTATCCTCCATATATACAAAAATTTTATATAAATAATGACATGCCAAATGATTATATACCTTGCTTTAAAAAGTAACGATGTGCATGGTATTTTCCATACTGTATATGCACAAAGTTGTCTTCTCTTTTACAGTTGCACGCCACTCTACTGTAAGGATATATAAACCAGGGCCGGGGATTTAGCTTAGTGATTCCGTTGCCTGCTTCTCAAGCATAAGGTCCCGAGTTCGATCCCCGGTACCAAAAAAAAAAAAAAAAAAAGGATATATAAACCTTTCTTAACTGGCCTCTTACTGAGGGATGTTTAGGTTGGTTCCAATGTTTTGCTATTACAAAAATGCTATTACAGGGCCGGGGATTTAGCTCAGTGGTTTCGCCGCCTGCTGCGCAAGCACAAGGACCAGAGTTCGATTCCCGGTACCAAAAAAAAAAAAATGCTATTACAAACAATATCTGTAGAATAAGTGATAAGATACAGTTTTCTTTTCTTTCTTTTTCTTTTTTCTTTTGGTACCAGGGATTGAACTCAGGACCTTGCGCTTGCGAAACAGGCGGTGGCACCACTGAGCTAAATCCCTGGCCCAAGGTACAATTTTCCAGGGCAAAGGTTATTAGAATTGTTTGTTTCATACATAATGCCAAACTGCCTTCAAAGGCAATTTATACTTCTAATTCTAATAGCAATGTGTGAGAGCACACAGTGTCTCCAGCGTGCCTAGATGAATAACACCTCAGAACAAAATAGAATCTCTTATAAACCAAGTACTTATTAACATACCATCTATCATCAATGCCTTGGTAGTACTGAAAATCTGATATATCAATTTGAAATAATTATATTTTAGAATTTACATTTTAGATCAAGAATGTAATTAAAAAGCACGTTTTACTATACACATCTCCCTTTAAAATCTTTTTACTTCTTTTTTCATAGACCCCTATATTACCTAAAATTATGACTGGTACATAGTAGATGCTCAACAATTATTTGTTGAATGAACAGATTTCAGTAAGATATCTGTTCATCCTCTAATGTGCTTCTGACCCAGGAAAGGAATCCTTTACAGTGGTTTGGTATCACATTCACCATACACATATTCAACATATGCCAGCCAAAGGTAGCCCTTTTCTAAGAGCAGGGCTTTCTGAATCAATTCCAAGCTCTAGCATCCAGGTCCTTGCAGAGCCTACACAGGACAGGAGAAGTGAAGATGGAGAATGATTCAGGGGCAGTCACAACGGGCTGTCAGCCACAGGAGGCCAGTTCAAGCTCCTTGGAGCTGCTCCTTTTAGTTCTGCCTAGGAAGAGGTTACTTGCAGTGCCAGGGAAAGCCCTGTGCATGCAGGGCAAGCTCTCTGCCCCTGAGCTACACTCCTAGGCCGAGAATTTGCAATGAAAGATTTTCTGTCCTAATTCCAGACAAAAACATCACATCACTGGCTGTCAAGGACACATGCCAAACTTTTGAACCCATCACCCAGTTTAAGAAAGAGAACATTTCCAATACTTTTCAAATCTACTCTCTGAACTTCTTTGGTAACTCCTTCTTGATCCGCAAGAGAGAGAGCTATTGTATGTTAATCACGTCCTGGTCTTTTAAAAATAATATACCTCTCTATATGATAGTTTTTACTTTGTATTAGCTTGACTTTTTTTAAATCAATGGAACCATACTGTTGTTTTGGTGGCTTTTTAAAAGTTCAAGCCAGGCATGGTGGCATATATCTGTAATCCCAGTACTCTTGGAGGCTAAGGAAGGTAGATAGCAAGTTTGAGGCCAGTCTGGGGAAAAAAAATCAATGCTATATTGAACTACAGCATAATGTACCTAGTACCTATATACAATAATTTATTTAATGCCATCTTGTGGAATTTGGACATTTGGGTCATTTCTGCTTTTCTGCCACTTGGAACAATGTTGCTGTGAACAAGATTGTATTCCTGTTTCTTGAGACATATGTGAAATACAGCATTTTTTCTAGTGTTTTTGTGAAATGGTAGATGTGAAATGGTTGGATGATATGTACATCTTTATATTAATTTTCTCTTCCAACTAAAGTCAGTATATAAGAGTTCCTGTACAACAAATCCTCACAAATATTTAGTGTAGCTATTTTTAAACATTTATCAGTCTCTATTAATTTTACCAATTAATTTTTTATGGAGTAATAACATGCACATGGTAAAGTTATACTACTCCTAAGGATGCTCACTGAACTTTCACTTGTATAACTGCCTCCTAGACCAGCAAATAGAATACTTCCAGCACCACAGAATATGCCTTCATTCATGCCTCTTCTTAGTTTCTTCACCTCATAAAGACAACCATTATCCTATCTGCACAGCTTTATTTTATTTTATCTTATTTTCAGTATCAGGGATTAAACCCAAGGAGCACTGAGCTACATCTCCAGCCTTTTTTTATTTTGAGGCAGGGTCTTAACATGTTGCCCAGACTGGCTTCAAACTTGTTAACATTGGACTTTTAAAGTTGAATTCAGATTGCTGTTACTATCTTTTTTATATCTATTTGATGTATATGGTTTGATGAAATGATTTTTGGTCCAAGATTTGATCTCAAAGCTGCGTATCTAATGTGTAGCTGTTGTGTGTAGCTGTTATATACTACTGCCACCTGGTGTTGGACAATATAAGACACAAAGGCAGTATTTCAAAATGCTTCATTTCACAACCAAAATCCCTTCAAAAATTTCCAAAAAAAATCATAGAACCAACCAATCCAAATGAGAGGAAAATAAGTCATTTACAATTTGAAAAGTATAGCAGTTAGTTCCTTTAATTAACATCATAACTTTCATGAAACTTACATTTTTTAATTTATGCTGTTAAAAAAACAATAAAATGTTCAAATGAGACGAGGAGCAAGGCAGAGGGGAGAGAGAAAGGAAAGAAGAGATTAGAAAAAAAGGATAGAATGAAAAAATGGAAACAAAGCTTTTGTAAATAAAGAGAAGAAGAGGACTTAAAGGGAGGGGGGATGGGGAAAAAAGAAGCAGATACATCATGTACATGTATGTACACATTCCCTATATTGGATGTTATTATTATGTGTATCTAAAATGTACCAATAAAATAAAAAGAGAAAAAACCCAAAAGACTTTACTGGAATTGTAGGAGCAGGTGAAATTTAACAACAGGAAAAAAAATGGAGGGGAGTAAAAAATAATTAGTATTCTATCAGGTTTGTACTATATCTAGTTCTTAAAATCCTCAGGGAAACAGGATTTCGGTACTGGTATTTGGTACATGCTGTTGATTAAGCATGAGGATCCAGTAATTACCTTTTCCTCTGCTTCAGCAACTTTTGATTTCTCCTGAGCCAGCTTTTCCTGCAGGTTGTTCTGTGATTTAATGCTCTGAGCCTGCCTTAGACCTTCCAGCTCCAGTTCCCTGATTTTCTGCTGACTGTGCTTCCACTCTGCCTTGAGAGAGCAGCATATCTTTGTGTTGTCTAGCAACTTCTGCTGGGCCTGCTTTAGTTCAAGTTTGATCTAGAAGAGGGAAATAAATAAGAATGACAAACATAAGCACAGAGTGAATTGGAAATGTGAGCCAGAATAAGCAGCTTTCAGAGGAGTTCAGCCTCCCAAACGCTGAATATGGCTGTTGGCCTCTCTGGAGCAGCTATGCATTAGTAAGCTTTGCTGAAGTTCATTAAGTCAGGGTGCAGCCAAACAAAGGAATTTTCTCGAGAGTTTCTAGTTTTGCACAACCTAAACATTTTTCCAACCTTTAATTTACTCCAAGGTGGCTTTCATCTCTGCTAGTCAAAGTAACTTTATGCCAGTGCCCCCCACCCCCGTCAAAATAAGCCCAATGTGCAAGAGAGCTGAGTAGCACTCCCTCCCTCCATCTCAAAAAGTCCTCCTTTCCTTCCCTTGGTTGTCATTTACTTCTCTACTATCCTTCTAACTGCCAAAATTAAACTCTGTGATTCTGCCCATATGTCCAAGGTCGTCTTTTCTCAGACTTCCTGATTTTAGTAAATGAAGCCACCATCCAACCTTTTGTGTAGGCCAGAAACCAGAAAGTCACCCTTGAGTATCCCATTTCCATCATGACCCAATTCCCATCACTTAACAACATGTTGCCACACTACCTCCACAGCTACTTTGCTGCAATCTCTTTGAGTCATTTTTGCTAGCACCATAGTCTAGATCAGTGATGGTGGATCTTTTAGAGACCAAGGGCCCAAACTGTAACTCAAAATACATTTTTTTATCACAAAGTGCCAACATTAAAATTAAACCCAAAGACCAAGGTTTTACTTCAGAAAAAACAACTGTTATCCAACGCTTGGCTGCTGGGGTGCTCAAGTGTTGATAGAGACAGCTCTGCATGCCCGCTGTAGCATGCGTGCCATAGGTTCACAACCATTGGTCTAGAACATCATTTACAGCCTGGGCTGTAGCCAGAGCTTCCCCACTGACCTTGCCATTTCCACTTTTACTCTCATCTATTCTATCCTGTATGTTGCAGCCAAAATGTTCTTTAGAAACCCAAATTGATCTTGACTCCTGTGCTTAAAATCGTATCAGTGACTTCTTGTCTCTGTATGAACAAATCCCAGCAGTTCACCTGGCCTTGTATGACCCGGCCCTTGCCTATCTCCTTAAAGCCATCTTGTTATTTCCTCTTCTCCCACTGAACTCCCATCACATTGATTTTTATTCAGTCTCCCACACACTTCCACAATTCTGTTTGCCAGGAATGCTTTCTCCTTTTGTATGGTTTCTTGCCTGTTCTTTAGGCCTTAGTCTAATGGTCACTTTGCAAGAGAAAATTTTCATTATCATTTAATCTGAAGATGTCTCCTTACTTGTGACATCACTGTTCCATGCCACATTTATTTCATTCACTGAACTTATCACAAGTTATAATTAAGCATGCATTCATCTACTTATCACCCTTCTTCCTCATTTTAAATTCTGAGAGCAGGGGCCATGTTTTTTATTTATTTCTCAATATCCCAGGCCTACCAGAGTGCCAGAGAGTAGGTGATTAAGACATACTACTGAGCAGGTAAATATGCACAAGATCCTATGGAATAACAGCACCCAATGAATACATATACCATGTAGGGAAGGCCTACATATAAAAATATTGAGAGGGAGGGACTTTGTCCACATGGGAAATAAAATTCCTTGGTTTCAAAGCTTTTCAGCTGATTAATGGGGATTATAATTGTAATATCTCCATATGTGACTACTGTGTGTTAACCAATCAGAATCTATTGAGTGACTTTAAAACTTAATAGTGTTCAATCCTCTTGGAGCACCAGTTTCTTTTTCATTTGTAACACAAAGATAATAACTGCTTACCTCACAGATAGCTGTGAAGCTGCACTAAGTAAGACAAAACAATTAAAGCATCAAGAACAGAGCCAGACACACAGGAAACACCTAATAAAAGTTAACTGTTATTCAAGTAACACTTATAGAATATCTACTGTATTTGATGCATAGAACTGAGACATATACTAATATTACTATTTTACATTTGTTAGGTTTTCACATCTATAAAGTGGCTGGGCTTGGTATTGTATCCTGTTTTAGAGATGAAATGCTGAATCTCAAATAGAGTTGGCAAATGAGAAAGGAATATGCTTAACAAAAGATGTATAAAAATTATAATATCAAATGAAATTAAAAACCTAAATATACACATACATTTCATAAGTTGGAGGATTCACTATTGTAAAAATTAAATTTTGCCCCTATTGACATAGATTCAATGTAACTCCAACTAAAATACTAAAAAGTTATATTTTTGAATATACAAATGAGTACGTGTGGATATGTATGTGTAGGTTGACAAACTGATTATAAAATTTACATGGAACTTCAAAAGGCCAGGAATAGCCAAGATATCCTAGAATAAGAAAAACAAGGTGAAAAATATCTTCTCCATTAAATGTCAATATTTATATGAAGCTAAAGTAACCAGGATAATCAAGGTTGTCAGGAAGCTTATAAGAGATAAAGCAGACAAAATATCAATAAAAAGTAGTTAATGTATATGGCACTATTTAGGTATCAGACATCCAGAGGAAGATTTAAAAGAGGAAAAAAATCTCTTCATACCAAGCTATCATTTATCCATCCTGGAAAGATTGTTCACCGATTCAACAAATATTTATTTATTTTTTATTTTTTGGTTTCTTTGAGACAAAGTTTCACTATGTAGACTAGGGTGGCCTTGAACTCACAGCGATCCTCCTACCTCAGCCTCCTGAGTGTTGGGACAACAGCTGTACACCATGCCTGGAAAGATTTAATATTTAATTAAAAAATCTGTAATTGTATAAAGACTTGAGGGAATATGATCAAAATTTAAAAACTGTGAAGAAGTTGGCCACCAAAACAAATAACAACAATAAAAACAAACCTGGGCCAGGGATTTAGCTCAGTGGTTCCGCCACCTGCCTTGCAAGCGAAAGGACCCAAGTTTGATCCCCAGTACCAAAAAAAAACAAACCTGGATAGGAATGAGGTTTATTCAGATAATCCTAGGATCCTAGAAAGGTTTCCTAGAAGTTTGAGATAAATGAATATTTATTTTCCTCTATATCTCCTCTATTAGATGTGAGCTCCAGAAAAGCAGGGAATTTTATTGATCATTTTCAAATAAGATCCATTTCTTTCCTGAGACCAAGGTGGGCAAACTTTTCTCATAAAGGGCTAGGCAGTAAATATTTTAGACTTTGTGAATTATGTGGTCTCTGTTACAAGTATGTAAGTCTGCTATTGTCTGCTATCAAGAAATCAACCAGCCGGGGATTTAGCTCAGTGGTTCCACCGCCTGCCTTGCAAGTGCAAGGTCCTGAGTTCGATCCCCCGTACCAAAAAAAAAAAAAAAAAAAGAAATCAACCAATAACAAATGCTGGAGGAGCTGTGGGGGAAAGAGAATCCTACTCCACTGTTGGTGTGAGTGTAGACTGGTGTGACCATTGTGAAAATCAGTGTAGAGATTCTTCAAAATATTAGAATTAGAGGTCCCATTTGACCCAGCTTATTACCCTGCTGGATATGTTCCCAAAAGAATTAAAAGCATCATACAACAGTGATATATCCACACTCATGTTTATAGCAGCACAGTTTGTAATAGTGAAAGCTTGGAAACAGCCCAAGTGCCCATCAACTGGTGATTGGATAAAGAAGATGTGGTTTTATACAATAGAGTACTACTCTGCCATAAAGAAAGATAAACTAGAGTCATTTATAGCTAAATGGATGGACCTTGAGACCATACTCTTGAGTGAAATAAATAGGACACACATGTGTAAATACTGAATTGTTTCTCTGGTGTCAGAAACTGAAAGTGTAAATGAGGACAAAAATTTTTAATAGATATTGTGAAATAGGAAGAAAATGTTCAAAGGGGAAGGGGAAATAGGCGGGGGAGAGGGGCAGGAGAAAGGAAAGAAGGGAAAAAATGAGAAAAGAAAAAAGAACGAAAACAAAGCTTTTGTAAATAGGGAGAGGTGGTGAGTTTGAAGGGAGGGAAGGGAAATGGGAAAAAATAAGAACCAAGACATATCATGTACAGGTACAAATTCCCAATGGTGAATGTGATCATAATGTATACCTAAAATGTACCAATAAACTTAATGAATAACGAAAAAGTTTTTATTATCTAAATGACAAAAACCCATAAAAGCAGCCATAGATAACATGTAAACTAACAAACATGGCTGTATGACAATAAAACTTTGTTTACAAAAACAGGGGCCAGGCAGGACCCTACCTATAGGCCAACGTTTTCTGACCTCTGCACCATGCAGATAAGGGTTGTGTCTATTCTGCTTGCTGTTAGCCCTCAGTGTCTACAAAAGTCCCTTTGTGACATATGCATGATGCTCAGTTTTTATTTGTTGAATGTTAAATTCCAGAACCTTAGTTAAAGACTCATGGAGACCAAGTCTTAATGTATATTTTAGAAAATGTAAATATATTAAGTTAATATAAAATATATTACCATTATAATTTACCATAATTAAAAGGAGACAGTACTTTATGAGGTGTTTTATTACAACGTTTATACATGTATGTGGAAGTCACTGAAATTTAGATAATGATTTTAGATAATGATTTCAAAAGACTGAGTAACTTTTAAGACTTTCTCTGAGCTGGGTATGAGGGTACACACCTATAATTCCAGCACTCTGGGAGGCTGAGGCAGGAGGACAAGTTTGACATCAATCAATCAGTCAATGGCTAGGGCTGTAGCTCAGTATGAAGGCTCTGGGTTCAATCCCCAGTAGTGAACCCACCCCAAGCCAAACCCCTTTTTTCTTTTTATAGGTGAATAGCATACATATTTCTTCAGCAAGGAGACATGACAAAGTTCTGTTCTCATTTAGGAATGAAAAGAAAGCTAGAGGAAGCTGTCAAGTAGCTCATTGTCCCTCCACCCATGGATCCCATCATGAATTTTGGAATTTATTGATTCATTTATTCTCAGGGGCCGCCGAGACCCTTCAAAAAAGGCTATGCCGCTAGATTTACCTTAATGCTCTCTTCCTGAAGTAAGCTGTTATGTTGCTTTAAGTCCAAGTTCTTTCCTCTCTCATATCGAAGCTCTTTTTCAGCTGAGTTGCAAAGGATTTGGAGCCGATGCAAATTCTGGCGAAGTTGTTGTAGTTCCTCCTGCTGGTCATATTTTAGTTTTTCTCCAGATGAGAGATACTAAAGCAAATATTTAAAAAGAGAAATATGTTTGAAAGAATATTGGAAAAACTTGGGTTCCAGCTGTGAGAACCAGGCTCGTCAGAATGAGGTTATTTCTATGTAAATATTTTTGGAGTTAGTTTACCTACAACAAATTGACATTTATGGCTAGTTGATAATGTTCATGTAATTTAGCAATTATTATGTTAGAGAGACAATACCAGGAAAGTTATGGGAACAAAAGCAGTGAGGCAGGGATTTAGCTCCGTGGTTCCGCCGCCTGCCCAGGTACTAAAAAAAAAAAACTAGTGAGGCATACACACTTTACCTTATTTTCCCCTATCAGCGAAGGGCAACAGAAGAATGGAGATTTTAGAGCAAAACATTCCTTAAAATGGAGCGCCTAGAGTCAGTGTGTGAATATGAGTGTGTAGCATGTGTATGTGTGCAGAGTACATGAGTGCACGCACAAGTGTGTTTACTGGCAAAAAGAAACAATTTAGTGAGAGAGTTTCAGTTTTTAGCCTACTTCCTCAATTTCCTTTCGACACTTGGTTCTTCTCCAGTTACTACTAAACGGCAGCATACAGTTTTAAAGTTCAACAGTATTCCACGATCATCTACATTTCATTTTCTTTGTCCATTCATCTGTTGATGAACACATAGGTTGAGTCTGTAACTTGGCCATTGTGAATGATGCTTCAATAAAATTGGAGTGCAGATAATCTTTTCAATATATTAATTTCAAATCCCTTGGGGATATTCCCAGAAGTGAAACTGTTGGATCATATGGTAAATTTAAAAATTCTCGAGGAACATCCCGTTTTTCCCAACGCTGGACTGATTTACATTCTCATCAACAGTACAAAAGGGTTTCCTTTTCTCTGCATCTTCACCAATAAATCCTCTGCATTTTTGATTGCAGATTCTCATACCAGAGTCAGGTGATATCATGTTGTGTTTTTTATTTGTATTTCTCTGATAATTAGTGACGCTGAAGATTTTTTCATATAACGTTGGCCTTTTTTATGTCTTCTCTAGAAAAATATCTATTTGGGTCTTTTGCCCATTTTTAAATTGAGTTGTTTTCTTGCTATTGAGTTGTTTGAGTTCCTTGTTTTAGATATCAATTCTAACCAGATATATGTTTGAAAATATTTCCCCCCAGTCTATAGGTTGTCTCTCCACTGTGCTGACTGCTTCCTTTGCTAGGCAGGTTTTTATTTTGATGTAATCTTATTTAACAAATTTTGCTTTTCTTTTTTTTTTTTTTTGGTACCGGGGATCGAACTCGGGTCCTTGCGCTTATGCAGCAGGTGGCGAATGCTTTTCATTTTTATGTTGTTTTGTTTTGTTTGAGATAAGGTCTCATCATGTAGCCCAGGATGACTTGAACTTGCAGTGATCCTCCTGCCTCAGCCTCCTGAATGCTGGGATAACTAGTTTGTACCACCATACATAGCAAATTTTGTTTTGTTACATGAGCTTTAGGGGTCCCAGCCAAGAAATCTTTGTCAAACTTTGTCCCTAAGAACTCATCAACTGATGAATAAAGAAAATGTTGTATAAACATACACAATAGAATGCTATTCAGTTTTTAAAAAGAAATAAATCTTGATACTTGCCACAACATTGATGAACTTGGTAGACGTTATGCTATGTGAAACAACCCAGGCACAAAAAGACAAATACTGCATGATCTCACCTGCAGAATTTAGAAAAGTTGAACTCATAGAAGCAGAGAGTAGAATAGTGGTTGATAGAAGATGGGCTGGGGGTCATAAAATGAAAAGATTTTTGTCAAAGGGTACAAAGTTGCAGTTGGGATAAAAATGTTTTGAAGATCTGTTCTAGAGCATGGTGACTACAGTCAATCTGACGTATTTCATACTTGAAAATTGATGAACGGTACTGTTCTTACCACATACAGATAATAAGTATATGAGATGAAAAATAGGTTAGCTTGGTTAATCATTTCACAGTATATTCATATAGCAAAACATCATATTGTACACCATAAATATATACTTTTATTGTCAGTTATATCTTAATAAAGCTAAAAATACACATGCATAAAACAATAAGAACTCTCCTATCAGCCCTCTCCAGTGCAATATCTTAAAGTAGTAGTCATTTGGATTTTCTACAAAAGGTAAGTATGTATAGGTGTGGCAAGTAGATAAAGAATTTGGTCTTATGCAATTCGTAGATGAGATATACTTACTAGAGTTTCCTTAGTCCTTGTCCAGTATGTGTCCTGTCCATTACTTTCTATTTTTGGTACCGGGGATTGAACTTGGGACCTTGTATTTGCAAGGCAGGCGGCAGAACCACTGAACTAAATCCCTGGCCCCTGTCCATTACTTTCTGAAATGAATCTGCTATTATTTTAGTTTTATTATGTCTATGTCCCTGAAGCGACAAATTCCCAAGTCCTGTTAGCTCTTCAGTTTCATTTTGGTTTTAGTCAGAAAGGTGACCTGAATCCAATTTATATGTCTAAGAGATGAAAGTCTCTAAGATCCCTAGGGAAAATTTTTAATGGATTATAATGTAATTATGAAGAACCCTAGTTTCAATCCTAAATCTACAGCGTATTAATTGGATGATCTTGGAAAGGGTACTGGGCTTACCTACATTTCAGTTCCTTCATCTTCAAATGAGGATATGATGATACCTGCTGGGTGAAGTGAAGAGGACCATGTGCAAGGACTTAGCAGGATGCCTGACACTTACTAAGCACTCGATAACATCACCCATTGCTCTCGATGCTACCTACCTTTCCTTTGACTGCCTTCATCTTCCATCTGCACACAACCTGGAATATCTTGGCCACCACTCTAGCTTCTTGTTTAACCATTATACAGCAGCACTGAATAATTAATTAGTGATCAGCAGCCTATAGAACCACTTACTAAACCAAAGTAGAGATATACAAGAGAAGCACCCCACTTGTGCCAAAGGCACAAAAGTTTTAGCCTGTTTTGAAGATTGGAAAAATCAAAACAATACTTCTTCTTCCTGTTTACATATTCCAGTCCAGTCATTTTTCCAAAATAGAAATGGATTTTTTTGTTTGTATTTTTGAGACAAGGTCTTGCTATGTAGTTCAGGCTGCCCTTGAACACACTATGTAGCCCAGGCTGGCCTCAAATTCGCGGTGATCCTCCTGCCTCAGCCTCCTGAGTGTTGGGATTACAGGGATGTGCCCATCACACTGGGCAAAAATTATTTGTCAAGAAAGTCCACTGTTGAGGCAGCTACCAGTCAGCCAGCCAAGCAGCTAACATAAAGAATCTATTTTTCCTACTATATAAATCAGTTTACTGGTAGAAAATTATTGGTGGGGGATATAAACTCATTCAAGCTGCTAGGAAGCATGTAAGAGTGCAAAGTAAATACATATGGGACTTTTCTGGATCAGTCAAGAGATTTATTAGCCAATTACCCTCTGAAACCCTCCAAACTTAAGTTCCTTAATAATAATAATAATAATAAATTGGAACTAGCCAAGCATGGTGGCACATGCCTATAATCCCAGAATGTGGAAGGTTGAGGCAGGAGTATTAACCATGAGTTTGAGGCCAGCCTGGGGTACTTTGTAAGCCCCTGTGTCAAAAGTTGGAAGAAGCATTATCTTAATTTTATAGGCTTTTACTGTTTTAAAATATTTTAATAAAATAACCATCAGATACAAACCTGGTTCAAATAACCAGTCCAATTGTATTGTGGAAATAAAGTGAAGACTTCTGGCTTTAAATATTCTCATTCAGAGGATGTGGATGGGATGGGCTATAAAACTCTGGTGCCATTACCTGTATGAACCGTCAAACAAGTCCACTTGTTCTGACTTCATATTCATCAAGCATGATGATTATGAATTGTCTTTCTTAGCTATCTACAGGGAGAAAATGAACTGTTCATCAAAATGTGCTCAGGTGATATTTTAAATTAATTGTTATAGAAAAATAACTAATTTGTATTCTGATTTTATCCAGTAGCCTTGAAAATTTGGTAAATTTTGTTTTTTCCCAGAGATGTTTTAGCCCATCTATTGTAGGTGGGCCAAACCCTGAGTGAATTTACCAACACTGTCCTAGGAGGGCTTTTGGGAGCCAGTTTGCCAGCCTTCTTTAGGAAGCCAGCTTGCTGTGAGAACTGTGTACTTTCTCTAATTCTGTTTTTAGCAAGGGGAAGCAAATAGCTTAGCAGTAAAAAGACCAGGCTCTAGAGGAGACAGACTAGCATTCCATTACTTCCTCAATGTGACAAATAATGAGCTCATTCTGAGCATATTGTCTGACCTCTCTAAAGTCTCGGTTTCCTTACCTATTTGGTGGCAACAGTAACATCCCTGTCTTGTTGTGTTTTACATTATGCCCAGGGCATTTAGCATAGCACCTACAACACAGTAAATACTAACATGTTAGGAAAAGAACATTAAGCTAATTTTTTTTAATGCTTGAGAACAGTTCTTTTTTCTGTTCTTTGTTAGTATATGTTTGCAATACATGTACAGATAGCATCTTAGTCCTTTACCCTTCCCTTCTCTCTAAATCTTCTCCCCATCTAGATAAGGTCTACTTCCGTTTCCTATCATTTATCTTTTATTTTGCTCTTTCTATTATTTGTACATTGGGTTTCTCACATAAAAGAAATCATTTGATATTTAACCTACTGAGTCTGATTTATTTCACTCAGCTTTGTAGTCTCAAGATACATAATTTTCCTACAAATGACTCAAATTTATCCTTCTTTATGGATGAGTAATACTACACTGGGCATATACACCCTATTTCCTTTACCCGCTGGTGGACATGTAAGCCATTTCCAAGAGTGAGCTATTGTGAATTGTGCTGCTATAAACATGGGTATGTGTGTATCACTGTAATACAATGTCTTTAACTCTTTTGGGAAGACACCCAGAAGGGGTATAACTAGGTTGAATGGAATTTGTTTTTAGTTTTTTGAGGAGTAAAATGGAATCTCAGTGTTGTTTTATTTCTCTAATGGCTGTA